GCCGGGCCCCGAGGCCGCTGTGGAGGCGGCGGCTGCGCTTGCTTCGCAGTCCCCGAGGTGGCGACCAGCGAGCGCCCCGCCGGCGCGGCCCGCCCGGCCTTTCGTCTCACGGTGGTCGCTGGGTGCCGGGTGTCAGAGTCGGAAGGAGTCCCGGGCGGCGGACGTCTCCTCGAGGTGTCTGCGCCGAACCATGGGCGCGGAGCCTGACCTAGCCAGCATGTCGGTTTGAAATATTTTTCATGCTGTCCAAGGGATGTTTCTTAACACACAGAAAAGGGAGTGTGGCGTGTTAAGTGTTTAGGATCTCAGAGGGAGCTCTTCTTTGGTTTTAATATTGTGACGTTATTTTTCTTTCCTTAGGCCATCCAGATATTAAGGGAGAAATTGCCAGAAAAGATGACAAACTGCTGTCATTACTGAAAGATGTGTATGTTGATTCCAGAGATCCTGTGTCTTCTGTGCAGGTAATGTGTCTTTTAATTAAGTAAATAACCGTTCTGGACTCCAGGAAAATGATCAGAAAAGTGTGGCAAATAGTAAAAGAGAGCGAGGTGCTCTGCAGGTGTGACCTGTCAGCGTGGTCCTGGCCAGAATACAGTGCACCGGCGAAGTCTAGCCCAGCGGTCTAAGCGAGACCCGCAGGCCTATTGGATATGTACTGAAATTCTAAGTGACTTGTGAAAGTATTGATTGAATGCAGCTGTGTGAATTATATTACTTCAGAATTTGTAATATTTGGTAAGGTACTTGTAGTGGTTGTCATTTGAATGACCTAAGGAGAGCTTTAATACTATTTTCTTACCCTTCAGTGTATTGGGATACATTCTAATCTCAGGGATTCCTTTAGTGTTGTATTGGCGGTATTTGTTTATTGCTTGTTTTTTAAGAATGTATTCAGATAGGATACATAAAAGAATACATTAAGAATGGAAACCTACATGTAAATCCATATATAAATGCCAGGCATAAGTGCTTTGTATATAGTGATGAGCAAAGTAGAACTCGTCCTTGTTCTCACAGTGCTTATGGTATTGTGAGGGACACAGGCATTAAACAGATGAGCAACCACAGTGATTGCTGTGTTTCTGAGGAAGTGACATTTAGGCTGGGGCCTGAAGGACGAGTGGGAGTTAACCAGATGAGTTTGTGGGGGCAGGAAGGTTCTAAGTAAGGGGAAGAGTGGTAAAAGGAGAGGCAAGTGCCAGTGCAACTTCCAGAATTTTTCCTTTCTAAAATTCTCTTGTTTTGTCTCTCTCTGGGTAGGTAATAGACTGGCACAGATTCAGTTATTAGTATAGCTTTCAATAGAGAAGAGAAATAAAACTCATATGTAAAATAACGTTTGTAAATTCTTACATGTAATAGCAATTAGTGGGTTCAGTTATCACCAAGTGCTCACATGAAAAAGATGATAGGAGTTGATGTTCTTTGCTGTTTTTAGGCAGGTGCTGAATAATACTTCCACAAGTGTTGTTTCTCTCATGTTGCACTAAATCATGCATTTGAAAATTGACTCTTGGGGAGCAAAAAAATAAAATGCTTTTTACATATACAACATATAGATACAATACTTAAAGAGATATACAGTGGTATTAAAATTTAAAGGGGTTATTAGGAAAGTCTAAAAAGGTTCATGGGAGAGTGATAAAAAGAAAAAGGTTGCAGTACCTATTTATGTTCTTTGTCCCTTTTTCTTTTTGGCAGTTGATTTTTGATGTCTCTAGACATCAGTGATACTGTGCCTATTATATATCAAACATTTTTTTAAAAACTTATTTTATTTTTTATTTGATTTTTAGAGAGAGAGGAAACAAGAGGGAGAGAGAGAAACATTGATGTGAGAGGGAGACATCAATGGGCTGCCTCTTGCACACTCCTTACCAGGTATCGAACCCGCCACCTTTTGATGTCCTGGACAGTGCTCCAACCAGTTTTGCCATACCAGTCAGAGGCTTAATAAGGACAGTTTTGAGAGTGGGCTGGGAAAGAACAAAATGTGTTTTTTCCAATTAGAGGAGACCAGTTAGGCTTTTGCAATTGTTCCTGATATTGGCTTAGACTAAGGTGATTTAATAGCTGAAAGAGAAGTGAATGGCTTCAAGAGGGACTTAGGCAGTATTAACAGGATTTGGTCACTGAATGGATATTATGAGTGAGGGAGAGGGAGGTGTCAAATATAACATGACATAAGAGAAGCTTTGAGTTTTGGAATGGTATATGGGAGGTAGGTGGTGGTAGTGAATGAGATAGGGAATATGGGGATAAATTGGGTTTTCAGAGGAAAGGAATAAGTTCAGTTTTAGCCATGTTGATTTTGAGTTGCTTGTTGGTTATCTAAGTAGAGATGCCCATTAGGCATTTGGCAGTTTGGGTCTGGAAGTAAGGAGAAAGGTCTAGGTTTGAGATCATATTTGAAAATAATTAACATGTAGGCTGTAATGAAACTGCAGGTGGTATGTGGGATTACTTAGGAAGAGTAATAGAGTATAGGGTGAAAAGAGGGCCCGGGCCAGAATTTGGGGTACACTAACACTTAAGGGGCAGCTGAAGGGAAAGAGTCCACAAAGAAAACAAAGAATGAAACACAGGAGAGACAGATGGAAAACCAAGAGAAGGGTGGCATTGAAACCAAGCATCAGATGCTATAGTGAGTTCAAATAAGCCTGAAAAGTGTCTTCTGGATTAGATATCACAAAAATCATTATCTTGTAAAGCTTAGCCATAAAGAAGGAAACTGATCATAAAGGACGTGTTGGTTTTGGGTTTGTGGGTGTTTTTAAAAGGTGATTATAGCATTTTTATATTTTGATCAAACAGCAGCATTAGGCAGGGTGCAGGTGAAAGGAAAAGGAAGAGAGAAAGAATGATTGGCATAACTAGGTAGCAGGATGAAATGCAGGGCACAAATTCAAGGATTAAACTTGGATGGTACAGAGGTGGAAAGATGGGTGTGCATAAAATGTTTCATTTATATTTGTTGGAGTATTAGAAGCATTAGTTTATTTTCTCTTAAGAGGCAAAATCTCTAGCAATATTTAAATTCTTTCACAGTGTTTGGAGGCATTGAATATGAAATGCAAAACTAGGAAATAGACTGGAGATTATCAAGTAAATTTAGGCCAGTGTCAGAGTCCTGCCCTTTTAAAGCAGTCTTAATCTAATGCATTTGTTCTTTTAATGTGAAATAAAGTGAGTAGATGGTATACATTAGAGTTTTATAGAATTACCTGAATTTCTTCATGGTGATTGGGCTATAGTGATTAAATGGTGATGTGGTCAAAGTGCCATTGAACTGTGGCTCATTATAATGAGAAAACATAGTTTGGAGAAGCATATGTAGTATTTTTTTGAAGAAGAATAATGGAGATTTGAGGAGCATGACTGTAGATGTCAAGTGTTTTCTCTCATCTTAAAAGCCTTTTTGTTTGTTTTTGTCTTTTGATACTAGGTCAAAGATGCTGGAACATCTCAAGAGCCAAAGGAGTTCAGATTGCCAAAAGGCAATCACTTTGACATGAATATTGAGAACATTCCCAAAGGCAAAATTTCCATTGTAGAGGCATTGACACTTCTCAATAATCATAAACTTTATCCAGATACATGGACTACTGAGAAAATAGCAGAAGAATACCATCTGGAACAGAAAGATGTAAATTCCCTTCTCAAATATTTTGTTACTTTTGAAGTCAAAATATTTCCTCCTTCTGAAGATAAGAAAGCAATACAATCAAAATGAAGGAACTCTTGGAGTTACTTTTCCTATATGTGCTCCCTCCCTCCATGCCATGTTTATTTTCCTATTTTTAGCATATTAAATTATATAAATTACTGAATGTTTAAAGCTCCCTCATTGTGAGAGCATCCTATTTATTGAGCTCTGCTGAATTTTCAGGACTGCTGAGAAAATAAGTTATATTTTCAACTTGAATTTGGTTTAGGCATGTATTCATATGTAATATCAGCATGACTAAATAGCACATGTATAAATTTATTACAAATAAAAGAGTTAATGTGTTATTTTAAGCACATATCAGCTTTTAAATTGGTCATATGGCCTCTTAGGAAATGTCCTGAATCCCTCATTTAACATTTAAAGTTTCACCTTCCAATTCAGCTAGTTTATTCTTCCTATGGAATAGCTAAAGTAAGAATTTTACTGACTCTTAAGACTGACATTTTCTTGTTAGGGAAAGGGAGGCTTGACAGTGAGGTAGAATAACAGTATTTCCCAACCAAAGGCAGTATATCCCAAATAAAGGATACAAAATAATAGAAAATAATTTTTTACTACTATAGGGAATAAGAATTTGTAGGGCCTTTCTTTTGTTACTTTGAAATGAAATTATAAAAAAAGTAGTTTTAAAAATTTTAGCAAATCTCTACTTGGACAAACAGGTAAGTCCAAAAGCTTTCAGAGAGGCAGGCAATGGTGGGAGCTATCTTAAAAATTAACCTTCTCTGGACTTAATGTAGAAATACAAGAAAATTTTAAAAAATGGTTAAATCAAAGAATCATGATAAATGGAATTTAGTGGCCAAATATATTTTCTAATTTAAATGCTGGTTGAAAGAAGAGAAAAAATAGCAAGTAGAAGCATAAAATGTGATCATTGGAAGGGACTTAAGAAATTGTTTCATTTAACAAATGTATGAGTACAATATATACGAATACTAGGGTTTTGAGCAAAATTGTGTAAATTCAACTCTGTCATGTTACTACCTGTGAGATCTTGGCTGGGTTTTATAACCTCTTAGATTGAATTTCCTCCATAAATGAGTATTATGCTGCCTTACTTGACTCTAAGGGTTACTGTAAAGATAAAATAATAAAGAACAATAAATATGACTTTCTTTTGCACTTGAAAATAGAGGCAGGCCTAAGGAAGTTTCATGACCTATTTAAGATTATTCTGTAGTTTATGACATAAGTAGGCTTAGAATTTAGGTTGTCACAATCTTAGTCTTGTGTTTTTTCTGCTGTGCCAATAAAAAGCATATCTCAAGAGCAGAAGTTGTGGATTGTAGGAATATTGAGAAAATATTCGTGGTAAGAAAAATTCCAGGTTACCACTGTCTTTCTGATGGAAGATGGACTTTCATTACTGTCCAGGAAGTCCCCTGGAAATGGCATAGAAGACTCAGGCCTTCAACATGACGGGATTAGGCATTTTTACTACTGAGAAGAACAAAATTGACTGAAATGGGAATTTTAAGCTTGTTTTCAAATGCAGTTTAATTATGGGAATATACCTAGTTTATATTTAGTTAAAAACAGTTCTTTTTAAGAAAATGGACTCTGTATAAAATTACATTTTAAAACTGTTAAATCAATCATCAAAACTGCTATCTTTTATCAAATAAAGATCAATACTTGAATCACTAATACTGCTATTTCTGAGCCATTCAAATCTGAGCTATTTCCCTATTCAAATCTGTACGTGGTTGGGCAGCTGTAAATGTGGCTGTTTTATGGTGTCATATGATAAAATAAAGTACTTCCCATATCATTCATTGGCCTATTACTGTTTTTTATTATATCTAGGAGAGTGTTTGGGTAGTTACTGGTGTCACAGAAAGCATGTAGTTAGACTCAGAAAAACCGCTTGTAGATCTCAGCATCACCACTAGCCGTGTGATCTTGGAAATGTCCTTCACTGTAAAACAGGTAATAATTGCTAACATCTTAAAAGCAATTACTGTAATAGGCACTGATCTAGGTACTTTACATGTATTAGCTTGCTTAAGTACCACAGGTCAGGGTAAGTACTTTTAACCACACTTTTCAGGGAAAATTGAAGCATGGAAATCTAAAGTAACTTCGAAGCTACCAGTAAGTGTTGCAACCTGGATTTAAACCCTAGTACAGCGATTTTCAACCCTTTTCATGGCACACATAAACTACTAAAATTCTGTGGCAAACCAAAAAATACATTTTTTTTCTGATCTGACAAGAAAAATAGGTATAATTTTGATTGATTTACAAAAAAAAGAATAATAGTAATTGCCTACCCTTTTTGCTCCAAAGTGACTTTAAAAAATCAGGTGCCTATACTTTATATAAGGATTTCTGATACTAAGAATTAACCAATCAGATGCAACCTTATTATGCAAGGTGACCAATAAGATGCAATTCTATTATATGAGCTATATGTTTATGGTTCAAGACAGGGCATTCGCACAGAGTGGCTATTGTGTTGGCTGTTGTCACATTTTTATTTGACAATGTAAGGAAAAAGATCAGCGCCCCAGACTACATAGCCAGGTATTGCATGTTTTTAAAATTCTTGCAGCATACTGGTTGAAAAATTTCTGCCCTAGTAGGTTATTTTTTGAACCTTGTGCTCCTAACCACTACACTATATTGCCTCTCTGGGATTATAAGGATTAAGTGAGATGGCATGCAATGTGCCTGGTACATATGGAGCCAGAACTACACAATGATCCCTGTGTGAATCACCTGTGGAGCTCTGGAAAAATACATGTTTGAGCCTTGACAGCTATGATAGGCTGGTTTAGTAAGTCTGAGAGATTTTTGTTGCTGGGCTCTGGATCAGGGATGGTTTTAGAATATTTAATTACGATGGCACCAGACTGTCCAAACTGCATGCTAACCATCTATGCAGGTTGCATGTCAGTATTGTCTGAGCCTGAAGTTTACTTACTGCATCATGAAGAGAAGAAGAAAATAATTCCTGGAGATGAAAAGATTTGGGGTTAGCAGGGTCAGGAGAGGAGGAAGGGAGCTTAATCATAAAGTAGGCAGGAGAACAGGGATTCAGGGAGCTGACAAAAGCTGGGCGGATTTGGCAAAGTTCCTTCATAAACAGGACCACCATATAATTTATTGCCCAAACTGGGACACAAGAGTCATAAGGGCACCAATTATATTAGGACAACAGGGACAACAGGCACAAACTTGAGTGCCTTGGACAAACTAGGCATCCTAATCACAAAAGTCAATGATGGAGGCCTTGAAGGCCACTCGGGATCTGGATGCAACCCTCTTATCTCCACTTCAACACTGAACACTCAGAAATGATCCCTGTCTGACCCAGAGCGCTTTGCTTGGCTCCAACTAACATTTGTGTATGGACATCCCCTCCTCCATATTTCTCCATTCCCTTAAACACCAAGAAAAGGGTGGTGAGGCCCTGGGCAGTTGGTGGTGTGATGGGAAAGCTTCTGTACTCATACCTGGAGGGTTTGAACTGAAGCGTCTCAAGGCATCCTGAATTGGGGCTATACTTAGAGACAGCTTGTTGTGTACAAGTCGAAAATATATAGGAAATGAGCATGTATAAAGGATTAAAATGATTTGATGCATCTGAAATAGCTATCACTTATTGCTTGATGGCTACTCTTTTCTTATTTGTCCTACAAAGAGCAATCCATTAAATATTTTGAGAGAAATAATGTGTATCCATTTGTTTATTTGGATACTCCATTTCTGCTTTGAGAATAACGGGTTTGAATTACTTGTTAGGAGAAATGATGAAATATCAGATTTCATATAAATCCCTATATAAAAACCAAAGATTTACATTCAGAGCTTTTGGGTCACTAATTCCATGGCCTTTCTTTGTCTGCCATTGTCACTGCTCTAACAATAAGACGATGTCTTGGGAGCACATATGAGTAGACTTGTAGAAGAGAGGCCCACCAGTTAAAAGAACAGGATCCTGAGCAGAGATGAAGTTCTGTAATTTTTAATATACTGATGTTGGTAAGTCTTACAGTAGGTAACACCAAAATTGCTTCCTGTGAGGTAAAAGGCAACAAGTTGGTCATTATAAAGATGAATAATTTTGGGACAAGAATTTAGTCAAGATAGATTAAGTAGTACTTGGGGGTTGAGAAGCAATCCCTGAGATGAAAGGAAATAGATAACAGTACAGTCTTGATGAGCAGGAACATTTCTTGGTTGCATGAGAGACTATAACCCTTGGAAAGGTGGTCTAATTTGAAAGAGGAAAGTCACAACAATGCCACTTGACTGACGATGAACTCCGCTTGTGGCTTTGAAGCAAGTAAAATAACAAAAGGATTTATGTGTGGGATTGATTACTGACATTCACATCTGGAAATGAGGGGGCCACTGAGGAAAAGTATAAATATTCCTAAAATAAAAACCTCATGTCTTTTTCTTATTCCAGAAGGGTAATTATTGATAAAATTTAATGCATTATATTTGGTTGTAACAATTCCATTTAGAGATAATGATTTTGAGCAATTTTTCTATTTTAGTGTATTTTGTAGCACCTATATATGGGAAATATCATAGCCAGAATTTTAAAAAATGTCTTCCTGCATTTCAAGGTAAACATAATACAAATTATCCAATAATTTAACAACTATATAATGGAGATTATTACTTTTATTTTAGAATTATCTATAATTTCCCTTCATTTTTCAGTGATGCTTATTGCACAACAGTATGTTTTTGTGTAACATTTAAATTTTATTTTTCTTTTAAGTTTACTTTTTAAAAAATATATGGCATGATTTCACATATGTTTATATGGTTTGGTGAGTATATAAACAGATGCTGCTTTTTAATTACCCAAATAAGAAATTGTACAAATGGGCTCTTATTTATTATTTAGATTACTATTAGTGTAGGGGAACTTTTGCATAGATTATGCAACTCTTTATTAACTCCATGGTACCTTAGGCCATTATCCATTTATTATTCAACAATTTCTATATAAGCCTTCCCGCTCCTACTTCTGGTCCACAACTGATGCTGTTGTTTCAGATAAGGAACTTGGAAATAGAAAACCACTTAAAATTTGCCTTGTAGAAGGAAACATTGAGAGAGAATGAGAGTGAGGCAGAGACAGACTGAGACAGAGAAAGAATGGCAGGGAGGAAGGAAGAAAAGAAAGAAATGATTTTTTGCTTTACAAACATCCCAGAAATACCACAACATCACCAAAGCAAATGAGCACTTTTTCTCCACTTATGTTGTTCTTTTTCCTTTTGTTGCTGACCCTGGTGAGGAATAGCAAAAGGTAAAAGATTCCACATGGTCCAGATTTAAGAGATTCTAAAGCCTCAGAATGACATCCTTAAAAGACCTTTAAATATTTAGGTTGCCACATTCTATTTTTTAAGAGACCCACTTTTAGGTAGGTCAAATGCGTGACCCACTTCCTAATGTAGATATAAGATTAATATCATGATTTTGTAAAACTTTCTATACTTACTCAAGTAATTTATTAAGCAAGCAAAAAGAATGCAAACATTTAAACTTTGCTTAATAGTTATTAAAAGAGAAGTGCTTTTCAAATGTTTTCTCAAGTTGATAATATTATTTATTTATTCATTCATTCATTCACCACAATTTCTCACTGATCTACTTATAGATATAATAGTGTTCCAGACACTATTCTAGAAGTTGGGGATACAGCAAGGAAAGTAACAAAGTCTCATCTCATGGAGCTTACAGTTGTACAATGTTAGCTGCTGTTTCAGTTATCTTTTGCTCCATAACAAACCATCTCAAAACCTAGGAACTTAAAACAACAATTAATTATTACTTCTCATGGTTTTGCAGGTTGTTGGAGCTCAGCTGGATGGTTTTCCTTTGGGCTCTCTCATATAGTTGCGACTGGAGTTGGTGTCATCTGAAGGCTAAACTGGGCTGCACATCCAAGAAGGCCCACTCCTATGGCAGGCAGCTGATGCTGGCTGTTGGCTGAGAGTTCAGCTAAGACTGGATGAGAGGATTTATAGGCAAGTTTTCTATGTGACATGAGCTTTTCATAGCATGGTGTCTGGCTGCATTCCAAAAGCAAATGTTGCAGGACAAATAAAGTAGAATAGTCAGAAACTGTCAGAGCATTCCATTTGTCAGAGCAGTCACAGAGCTTACCTTGATTCAAGGGTAGGGGACATAGGCCACACATCCCTATGGGAAAAGTATCAAATAATTTGTTGTCATCTTCGCTTTTTGCAGTGCACCATTTCAAGAAATGCATGATGTGAATTTATCTCATTTTCATGATGTTAATTTTTTAATATGTTTTTATTGATTTCAGAGAGAAGAAGGGAGAGGGAGAGAGAAATAGAAACATCAATGATGAGAGTCATTGATCGGCTGTCTCCTGCACGCCCCCTACTGGGGATAGAGCCCAAAACCTGGGTATGTGCCCTGACTGGGAATCAAACCGTGACCTCTTGGTTCATAGGTCAACACTCAACCACTGAGCTGTGCCGGCTGGGTTCATGATGTTAATTTGGTGGCATGGTGAAGGTGGCTTTTGCCATATTTTCTCTGTAAAATTACATTTTTTTCTCTTGTAATTAATATGTTACTGATTAGGAAGGGGCATAAGAGGTACTGGAAGTGTTCTGTCTCGATCTGAGTGGACATTGTATTAGTACACACATACATGCAAATACATCATGTTCATTTCAAAATAAAGCATTTTATACACATTAATATATTATACCTAATACCTCAATAAAATACATATTTTTAAAATCCAAGTTGCCAATCATGGAT